CCAGAACCTGTGACTTACACTTTATATGGCAAAAGGGACTTTGCAGATGTGAACTAACTAAGGATAATGAGATGGGAGATTATTCTGGATTATCTGGGTGGGCCCAATGTAATCACAAGGGTGCTTATATGGGGAAGCAGAAGATCAGAGTCTGTAGCAGGAGATGTGATGATGGAAGCAAGAGGTTGGAGTAATGTGAGGAAGGGGCCATGTGCCAAGGAATGCAGGTGGCCTCCAGAATCTGGCAAAGGCAAGGCTATGGATTCTCCCCTTAACTGAGGACTAGGGAGACTGATTTTAGATATCTCAGAGCCTCCAGAAGGAGCCAGCACCTTAACTGAGGACTAGGGAGACTGATTTTAGATATCTGGCCTCCAGAACTGGAAGAAAATAAATGTGTGCTGTTTTAAGTCACCAAGTTTGTGGTAGTTTGTTATAGCAGCAACAGGAAAACAGACCTGGTGCTGGAGACACTGCAGTGGGTCAGAGGAAGCCAGGCTGAAGTCCAGTGAGGCAAGCGTAGTGGCACTCCACAACTGCAGCAATGGAAGCATCGCTGAGGCCACTCTGGCTGGAAAGCACACGTGACCAAGGAGTGGGGGTGGAGATAGATAGAGCCCAGCAGGGTTGAGATGGTATTTAAACTTGGTCTGAATGTTTATTGAGGATCAAGTCAGAAAATCAAAAAAAGAACAGACATTAAGGATTATCCCATCCAATCCTCATGCAGGATCAAAGCCTAAAGCATCACCTTTCCTCCTGCATTGACCCCCTGAACTATCCGATGATGCTGGCAAGTCCTGGAGTTTAGCATCCTAACCACCCGCACAGATTGGCTGCCATGTGTGGAAATGGCTCAGCAGTCCTTTGCAGTCACAAGTTTGGATTTGAAGAAAACAGTTCCTCAGCCCAAGGGCTATGCATCTTCTAAGTCATCAAAGCACACTGTTCAGATGGCCTCATCCTCCCCTGAAAGTTAGCAAAGTGATGCAAGCGAAGCTTGGATAAGTGCCTGTGTGTTTGTTTGTGCTCTTGTACCAAATCTATTACATGAGAACATGCCTGAGCCAGCCGGCTAGAGGAAAGAAGATGTAAGGATCAGAGCCGAGTCACCCCAGTCATACCAAGCAAAGCCCTTCTAGATCAGCTGATGACAAGCAGACCCTCAGACATATGAGTGAGCCTAGCCAGGGTCACAGAGCCATCTGGCTGCCCTACAGCTGATTGCAGACACATAAGTAAACCCAACTGAGATCAGCTGAGTCCAGCCCAGAGTAGCTGGAACTTGCAGACCTAGGAGTAAAATAAATGTTTATTGTTATATGTCACTGAGATTCGCCAGTGGGGGGGGGGGGAGTTGTTACACAACACTATTATGGTAATAGCTGACTGATATAACTCTATCAACTCCAAGTTGACCTCATCTTCTGTGAATTCCCATTGTCTCTCTCTGTACCAGAGTTTTGCATTTTCCTAATTCGTTCATATACACAAGTGTCTCCTCTCAGACCTGACTACAGATTCTGGAACATTTAGGTTTACATTTCTCTGTTTCCTTACAGAGTACTTAGCAGCCACACTGAGCATGCAGTAGACCTTCAAAATGTTGATGTGATTTCTAAGCCCACATGGATTTCCAATGTCACTGCTATTTGCTTTTCATGATTGTAGTATGTGAGAACTAGAAGAAAACTTAGCATCAGATCAACTCCCTCCTTTCACAAATGAGAAAGCTGAGGCTCAGAGAGATTAGATTGCTTGTCCATGGCCACGTGGCTGGCTAGAAGCAGAGCCGCACATACTGGCCAGGCCTCTTGTCTGGGATTCCAGTGCTCCTTCCTCCAGTAGTGATGCCAGTTCCTTAATTGATTAGTAGGGGCTGCCCAGCACCAGTGTGATGAGAAGAGTCCCATGATCAATTAGCCATATCTTCCAGGAGTAAGGAAGTAGGGGTCACCATCTCTGCCACATCTGGTTATTAGTTAACCTGTTGGCTTATATTTATTACAAAAATACTATTTTGTTTATTTCACTTTCATCTAATTCCTGGTCTGAAGTATACTTTGGAAACCTCCTAAGGCTCTGGTTAACTCCCTTCTGCGTACACCCAAGATCAGCAATCCCTTCCCCTTGCTACAAGTTAGCATTTTTAAAACCCTTCTCCCAGTGATACCTTGCAAGGTGGTGAGCACGCAGAAATGAAGCCCCCAACCAAAAGAAGGCTTAAGAGTTGAAAAATCAATGTCAGAATTTGGCCAGAGTTCCCAGCAGCAAGAGTAATATTGTGTATAATTTGTATAAGCTGGAGGAACAGGCTGTTGATTTTTCTGCCTGACCCCAAAAGCTAGGTTCTCTTTGCCTCAGTCAATGTCATTTATCCCCAGGTTAAGAGGCAGGGACATCACAGAATGAAGTACAGTCAGCCTTGAACTGCCTCTAAGGCAGCAGGTAGGTGGTCCTGCTAAGGAGCCACAGGAAATTCAGGGAGAATAGGATAAAATAAGGGCTGTATGTTCCTTTCCATCTCCTTAAGAAAATTGAAGGGCCCTTTCCCATGTCCTTTCATTGCATGAGTCTAAACTTAATGTCGTTTCTTCAGGGAAGCCCTCCCTGATGCCAAAAA